TAATAGGGATTTGTGTGAATAATTTCTCATAGAAAATTTCTACATTCATCACGGGCCATACTGACTTCATGAAGAATTTGCTTGATTTGTTTTAATGGTTTTTCAGATTTTGTAATATTTGCATAGACTTTAGTGGTAGGATATCCCTAATTCCAAAATTCAAAGTTAAAATTTACCCTAAATCTAAATGCTAGGCAGGTAGTTAGACATTATGGGCCTGAGTGGTAAAAGTGTATGTGGGGGAATGGAGGAAGCGGGGGCCGTTGAAAATAGCATATGTTACCAGTTAAGGAAACAAAGATTTCAGTGTATAATACGTTTATAATCCTTTGTAGGTCTCAGACCTAAGAAATCCCACCAAGTCCAGTGACACTTTAAGGTTCTACACCAGGCACATTCCTTCTGCTACCTGGCCACTTGGCTATCTAATATCAGAACAAAGAATACAGCGTTCCTGAAAACTAAATCCTACAGTGCAATCACATCAGAAGGGAAATGTTCTTTAAAGACCATGTGCCTTAGGCATAGGCCTGATTTGAATGAAGAATTTATCTTTCCTAAGTTTCATACATAGCTAAAGCTCTTGAGGAAACACTGACTCCCTGAAAAGGACAGGAAGACATTTTTGTAATTCCAAAGTGACTTTTGAGTAAAATGTCAAGCATCATAATCACCATAGTGTCCGGATCTACAGGAGGAACTTCTCCAAACATAAATATATCCAAACTTGCACGGGGGCAATTGTCTTTGTGGCACCACCCAACTTCCCTCCTAAAGGTTTAACTCTCTCTATATCTATTTTATGATAAATTCTACCTATACTTCTGCATGGATGCGTATGTGTCTTGACTGAATTCTTCCATTAAGGGCACAAAGAATCAAGGACCAAAGAAGTGAGAGGCTGGATCCTCACTGAGTCAATACCTTGCTTCCTGGTGACACCAAGCCTTTTGAGTATTATGTTGCTACCTTGCAAAGCATTTTGGATTTTTGATTTGAGGATTAGGGATACTCTGTGTTAATGTGCAGCCAAGGTTGAGAACCGTTCTTTAGATTGGGAGATAAGTCTGCCACTCAGATCAGTCATGTGTTAATGCAACAGTGTAGTACTGTGGCCAGACACAGTGGTACGTGCTGTAACGTTGGCACTCAGGAGCTAAGGGAGGAATTTCACCACACGAGGCCAGCTTGGACTAGATTGTTAGACAAACAACATAGAGTGCAACCTGGAATACATTTTAACTGAACAGTGACTCTCTTCATGGCTAGGAAGAGAATTCTAGAGCTATCAACAGGGATCTTGTCAGTGTCTAATTTTTTAAAAACTAGAATGGGAGTGAGAAGAAAAATAATCTCAGGCTGTTGCCAGGACAAAGAATGAGGACAAAAACTACTGAGAAAACAATCAAGACCCTGAGGACTGGACAAGGCGTATAAATGTTGAGGGTCTCAGCCTTGAAAGTTACACTTTCAGACACAAAGTACAAAAATTAAACATAAAAAATAGGTCAAAATTGAAAGAGATATTTCTCAAAATTTAATATATTCTTCCAAATTGTGACCTTCAGACATCTCTCATAATCACAGAATAAGAATCTGAAATAAGAATTAAGCACTTACATGGGTACCAAATAAACATTATCTTAACTAATTAAACCTAATTAAAACAGAAATTTTTCTTTTATTTCCTTTGCACATAACAGTGCCAAGTAGCTAGAAAGTATCTAGTAATACCTATATTGTACAAACAAACATCTGTAAAATATTTAAGCTAAGTCATTCCAAAAGACTGAATTGAGTTAAAGAAAATACCCCTCTCAAGTTTTGCCCTTAGAGTAATTAATTTTGTTTATGTTTTGGGTTACTTTGTTGTTCTGTTTGGTTTTTTTTCTTTTTCTTTTTCTTTTTTCGCTCTTTTTTAGCAGGCCACATATTTTCAACTGAAAAGTTCAAATTAGCCTGTTAATATGGCGGATGTTGGAAAAGCGCATATTACTTCCAGTCCCTTGACTTACCACACAGTGCCTGACTACAGAGCAGCGGAGACCATCACTGCTTTGTCAAGGTCTTTGGTAAAGACTCCTGCTGATAAGCCATAGGTAGTATTGTTCGCTCTCTTGATCACATCATCCAAAGATTTAAACTTCATGATTTGTTGCACTGGTCCAAATATCTATAGCATAATAATTGAATGACATAAAATGATAAGTTAAAACTATGTATTATAAATGGTGGTGTAATATAGTCTTTCTCTCTCTCTCTCTCTGTCTACTATTCTAAATTGGATGAGATTTTGTTACTCAACTCTGACCTGTGTGCATGAACAAAATAGGTAACTATGGAAATGGTAGGTGACAATAAGCAATGTTGATGTGTTAAGTTCTCTTTGGAGAAAAGTAGGATTTAGATAAATGAGAATTTATTTTTCTAGATCTTGGAATTAAGCTTCCAAGAATTTGATTGTGGATCAGATCACTAACTTGAGACCTGTACTTTAGAAACATTTAGAATTTCCTCCTTAGCTTTCTTCATCTTCCTGGTAAGTAGTAACTCCAAGAAAGCAGTGCTTGTTCTGTTGGATATATGAGTAGGCAGTGGTTCATAATATTTATGTCTTAAATATCACTGTGCCATTAAATTATCAGGTGTTCTACTGCACATCAATCTTTTTGTAATTCATAAGGGGTTAGGTAAAACATCATAATTTTTTACTCAAGTTCTACTCTGTAGCCAAATCTTGTGCAACTTACATATACCAAACAGAATGCTCATTTCTCCAAGAGCTTAAATCTCAAACACCAGCCCCCATAGTAACTAAAGCATGAGTTCACCGGCAATACCTATAATCAAGACAGGGAGTAAAAATCGTATTTGGCTTATTCCAGTCTAAACCATTCTTTTCATGTTTGGTAGACTCTACTTAGCACAGCCAAAAATCAACTCATCCTGTATTTCAGCCCCAGGCAGAAGAAAAACTACTAATTTTCTTTTAAAAAGAAATATCTACATTCAATAAAAAAGTAGTTGAAATTAAATAAAAGAAGCCTCCTCATAGTACCACCAGAACTTTCTAGAAAATCTAAAAGACCATAGGCAAAAACCCAAAATAACAAATGATTTTCTGGTGTTCGTTATTGATTTAAGTAGTATGGGCACAGGGGCTACCATTCAGGAGAAACTGAATGCTGTAAATCTAATCATAATATTGTGACCTAGGAACTAGCCAGAGAGCAAATATTGCAATAAAAGTGCTCATATGTCACATAAGTTTAGTTGCACATAGTACATGCTCCAGACTTCCACTATAAAGTAGCAAGCTAGCTATTCTACTACTTAGATTATAGGAACACCATAAATATTTCCTGGGTTGAAGATGTTTTTCCCGTGTGTGGTATTAATCAAGATATGCAAGGACAGCTCTAATTAGAAAAGATTTTATCAGTAAATAAAACATTATAATTCAGTTGGCTGAATTAACTTGGAGAAACTAATATGTTTGATTATTCATATACATTGACATTTATGTTTGTTTTTCCTATTTTTTCATCTGTTTGCAAATCTGATTGTACACTTTTCCTCTTGGTTTGAAGACATTTTTGAGGGGTTAGAAAATAACCTCAGAGTCGTTGTCATACCATGGACACAGAGGACATATGGCTGAAAGGATTACGATCAGTACCTTTGAGCTGTCAGTATTTTTTACACTTACATAATCAAAGGCTGTGCATCTACCTCTGCTTCATTAAAAGCCCTCAGTGTGTGTGAGTCAGACTATTTACCATTCCTAAATGCAGACTTCCCAGTCATATGTCTTATCTCTCTGGATAATATTTATCTTGCTATTTAGTTGGTGCTCACCACATATTTCACTGCAATATGTGACATATTATATAATATAGTTATGCACATATATATTAGCACATATATGAATATAAATATTCATCCCTACACACTCCCCAGTCTACATGTGCTCTTGACCTCAGAGTTTTCAGATGTTAGACTTGCTAATTTTGTGTATTGTCTTTAAATACTGAAGCGATATTGAAAGGCACACATATACACAAAAATATCATTTACATACAAATACATTTATGTGTCTGTGTATACATGTACATATATTATGCATAATTTATTTTTATATTTGCATATATAAAATTAGAAAGTCTTACCCTGTAAGGACCACAAGTACATCGAAAGTATGAAATGATAAAGATGGATATTATTATCAAATATAAAGATGTCTCGTGTCGGAAAAAGTCAAAGGGTTTATTCACGTTACGACAAAGGACAGGATTCTTGTCTACAACTTCATAGCTGTGAAGGAAACCCCTAAGATTATTGATCACCTTAGACTGTGTTTGGCTGGAAATTCTTGCTAGGACCAGTGGACTCCTGAATTCCTGGATTTTTTAGTCTTTATTACATATAATTTACACCTTTATCAAGAGGAGAAACACAGCATATCAATTTTGCTGAGAGTGACATTCAAAGAGCTGAATTTAACAGGACAGTGGACAATATACACACGTAGGAAAAACAGCAAAACAGAAGACAGCAACAAAGGCATCAGAGGGAATGAAGCCTTTTACCTCCTCCTTGGCAATGCGCATCTCATCTGTCACGTTAGAGAAGACCGTGGGCTGGATGAAGTAGCCTTTGTTCCCCCAGGGGCCTCCACCACACTCCAGTTTGGCCCCTTGTTTCTTCCCACTCTCAATGAGCTCAAGGATTTTATTGTACTGTTCCTTGTCAATCTGTTTCAAAAATATTGTGTGAGAAGGAGTCAACACCAGTTAGCAACTTACAAAGGGAACCACTGCTGGACCTGTTCACGAAGTCTTCAAAATGCTAGGATATTATTAATGCACTTAATACTCAAAAAAAAAGCTAAAAGAACTTCAGATTTGTTCTTTGGGTACATTTATATCTCATGAATTGTTAGGGAAACACCTTGAGATGTTTATATTTAACCTCTACAGTTTTGAATGTCAAATATATTTGCACTGTCATTCATGTGGACCTTTCACATAAGTGTCGTTTGTTCATTTTGGAAGAAAAGTTTGTTAAAGATCTCACACACCTGAACACAGTAGTCTTACTTGAAATAAAAGGATGGAAGAGGAAAGGATGCTCTGATTTTGGTTCAGCTACATATGGCAGTTGAGAAGCTGATGCTTTTCGACTCTAGATAGATTCCTATACTGTATCTGTCTGAGTCTTCCCATCTCTGACCCTTCCCCTCTGGCCTGCCCCTGCCTTTGTACATCACATTCTGACCATATTTTGGGCATCATTCCCAGTTTAGGTCTGTAGTTTTGATTGCAATTTCTGGTCAGCCCCAATTGTCATCTCTTTGGCTTGTTCTATGGTTCACATCTAAATACATGACAAATATAGCAGAAGTTAAGTGAGTCTTTTTTAAATAATACTTCTATAAGGGGAGAAAGGATTTCAGAGTTCTGGTTGAGAACAAGCAGCACATACGTCTCCCCATGCACTGAACTGAGGTGGCTGTCTGTCATCCCACTTCCTGTATTGATTGAGTGACCCTTGGCCCCACGTTGTTGGTGCAGGCTGCCTATCCCAAGTCTTTTGAAGTAAAGGATTAAGGGAACAACAAGAGATCCAGAAGCCAAGTAGGAAGTTGGGGGCTCTTGCCAGTTTAATGTCTGTCTTCTCACTAGTTAAAAACTGATATTCTTGGTCTTCTTTGCCTTGGGAAATCTTCCATGTGTTCGAAGGCCCAGAAAAAGTTTCCATAAAGTGAATTTTAGTTGTCCCCATGTTAGCTTTCTTAAGTATCGATTGTTGGAGCAATTTTTAGGGTTGTATGTATTATTATTTGTATTTGTATTATAAGTGTGTATTCAAATACGTATGTTTTTCTTCATTTATAAAGGAAATTTCCTACTTGATTTAATCTAATCAAATTAAGTGCTGTCCTTAATCAGATACTATTTTTAAAAATTTGGCACACTTCTTGGTACAGTGCAGCTCAGCGCTTTTCAATGCCTCTTCAACGTCCGTGTCTCCCTGCCGTGACAAGGGGTTAGCACAATTTGTGTAGTTAGTGTTACTTTTTTCCAAAATGAAAATATTATTACTCCAAATTTTTAGGAAAATACACATTTTTGTTTATGAAATCAAGTAGGAAATTTCCTTTATAAATGAAGAAAAATATACATATTTGAATACACATTTATAATATAAATACGAGTAACAATACCTACAGTTCTAAAAATTACTCCAACAATCAGATATTTAAGTTTATATTCTTCCAGTAGGAAAAAAAACCCAAAATTACTTTAAAAATTATTTTTCCTAAACTAGTATTTTCTGCAATTATTTTCTCTATAACTGTTTTGTTGTGTTTTTTTTTTTTTTTTTTTCATGTGGACGAAGGAAGTTTTACAACCATATTTAAAAAGCCTCAGTTCCCTCACCGGCAGTGGATGAAGCCCTAGGCTAAGCTTCTTGAGTGAGAGCTTTTTCACAAGTGCTTTCTTACAACAGATGAAAATCTTTCAGGATCAAAACTGCAGGGGTTTCTCAGTCCTTCATTTCTCAAAGTTCCAATATGCCCACTTATGGTACTTAGTTCAGCCTGTGATAAAACCCTACTCATATATTGGAATTAAAGTCATATTGATCATTGGCTCACTTAAGAATCTTAACTTTAATTTCTTTCTCTTAAAAAAATAATGAGGCAAAAAAGAAAAATAACAAGACATATCACTCAATTTTTTGAGCTATGGTTGAACTTTCCAGACCATCTAGTGAAGAAAAGTATTGCCCAACCATTGTTCAACACTAAGTATTTTTAAATATTTTTTGCTTCTGTCTTTTTTCGTATCTATTAATGGGAAGAGACTTTAACGTTTAGACAGATCGGTAGACAGATAATTTAGAGAGAGAATAATCACAACAGAAAATTTAGAAGCACAATCTTTTTTACAATGGGAGACAAATTTCAAATTGGAGTTGGATATATTTCTTGGGATCCATTTGAGATTTTGTCAAATATGATAAAAATTGTCAACTACTCATATGTAGACATTAAACTCAAAGACAATTATAAGATATAATGCAATTAAAGTAAATCAAATTATAAATTTATTTGCCAGTTCATGTAGGGCTCTGAACTGTCAATATTTGGCATTATTTATGTCCTAAGGTTTTCATAGTGGGACACTTAGGATGAGCAAGAAAGCCCAAGATCCTAAATTACCTAGATGACAAACTCCATTAGGTCAGTGAATGTCTTCCTTGTTCTTTTTGGTATAGCTTTGTGACTATCTCAGGGCTCATCAGGATTTAACTAAAAGTAGTGTTCACAAAATGTTGATTTAAGAAAAAAATTTTTCCTTAGCCTATTAGTTAAGAATAGTTTGATTTCAAGTCAACAATATTCAACAGTGTATAACAGTGTGAAGGAATAAAAACTCCAAGCCTCCAGTCTCGTGGGCATAGTCTATCAGCAAAGGCCCTCTGGCCTCGTGGCCCAGTTCATTCTCTGTTGTAGGGCTCTCCTATACATTGTCAGGTGCTGAGTAGCATTCTTGGTCTCTACTAACTTGCTGCAAGTAGAACGACACCTTCCCACCAACTGTGACAGCTTTAAACATCTCCAGACATGGCCAAATGTGCCCTGGGATGGGGAGCAAAACTGGCCCTACTTGAGGATTACTCATCTACAGTAGGACACTAAAGGAACAGAGAAAACTCAGAAGCAAAGATGGAAGAGCTTGAATAGCACGCCATAAACAAAGAACTGTGCAAGAAAGAGGGAAATGTGATCTTTGAGTAAGACAGTAAGAGATACTCTTGATAAAAATGGTTCTAAATAAACAGAAGAAAACTTGGGGCTCTGGGGAAGTAGTTGGGCTCTCACAACTAGTTGAAAATTTGTCAGGAATCGGGAAACAAGAACCCCTAAGGACACGTCTAACATCATCAAGTGAGAGTGACTGAAAATTTGACAGTGATTTAAGAGTGTTTGAGCTGTGGAATGACGGCTGAGACGAAAGACTGATTCTGAGAAGAAAATGATAGGAATGTATGTGAACTTCTAGGATGGACAAAGAATTGTGTACAGGAATCAAAGAATGTGGAGGTTACATAAAGCAAGAAATTGATACTGTTTATCAATTTTCTCACATCTTTAGCTCCCCAAATGGCTCCTACACTGTTCTAGAAATAACAAATAGACAAGACAAAAATAGAATAATTTCTTTTACCATTGAAAATTAGATTTTTAAATCATTGAATTGGTATAGTATTGTTACTGAAGACTTTGTATAGATTAGATGCAAGTTTATTTGTTAAAAATTAGGCCTAAAAAGGATCTTGAATTATTGTCATCTGAAATTTTATTATTTGTATTCTCACCTGGGGGCCCTGGTTTACACCTGGGGTCAGTGGATTTCCAAGAACATATTTCTTAGCCCGCTCAACACTCCTTCGAACAAACTCATCATAAATTGATTCTTCCACAAAAAGCCTGGATGCAGCTACACAGCATTGGCCCTGGTGGTAGAATAGGCCATGGTGTGCCAGTTCTACAGCATTGTCCACTGTAAAAGCATACAAACACCATTAAAGAAACAAACACCATTAAAGAAAAGCTATGTTCTAAAGAGTTCATACTTAAATATGTTCCCAGAGGTAACATGGTGCTTTAGAGAAATGATGGGCTGTGTAATCAGACATGGGCTCTATGAAGTCCTCCTCTTGATGTCTGGACCGTAAATTAATCTTTGTGATCTTTTATTTACTAGGAAAGTAGTGGCAATGAATCAATTCTGAAAAAATGATGGTTATTACCATAATTTTAATGTGAATATAATTAAGAATGTGGATTTCATCCAAAGATCAAATGACATTGCAAATAATTTTCATAAATATCTGCATTAATAATTAGATGATTGTGAATCATTCCTCTACACATCTGGATTTAACTCAATAAAAGAGACAATTTGAAAAGGTACATTGTCATAAAGTACCTCAGTTCACAATTTTAATTTATTCTCCCATGCTGGAAAATACGGCCGCATTTGTGTTTGTGTGGAAAAAATGGCCATGGTTGTGGTTGTCCCCCTGATACAGACATGGCAAATAAAAACAAATTTTACCAAATGTTTCTGTTTGCAAGCCAAGCTGTAAGCAAAAGCAATTGGGAAATTCTCAATAACATTCTTTAATGTTCTGATTAGTAAAAAAATTGATCTTTCTGAAAAAGATCCATAACATAAAAACAACAAAATCTACCAATAGTCAGCATTATTACCCCTACCTTTTAATCTTATTATAGGAAAAACATTTTGAAAACCTAAAAGTCTACCATATTGTTTCATACATGCCAGAAACTCCTATCTGTTTAGGTGACAGGATAAAGCTAGGTTGCTTTATTAGTAAATCCTCAACAAGAATAATGATAGTGTCTTTGCATTTTAATACTCTAAATGCTAAAGATTCAATTTAACATTAAAGCAAGTAGGTGTGAATTTGAGAACTAAATAGACCAACTTAAATTGTTTGAAAGCAATTTATTGACAGGCTTGTAAAGTGTGGAATGTTGTCACATTTGCAGACTGTTTCAGAAGGTAGTACATTCTCAAACCTTCAATTAAGATCAGAAAACATTAAAGGCCAATTCCACACACCATTTGTTTATCCCAATAGTGCAAGAGTGTAAGAAAGGATTACAGGAGTGGTAGCTCTTCTGCTTCTGCTAATTAACTCTTCATTAGGAAATAATTTTGAGTTCTACTTGGTAATATAATCAGAGTGAACCTAGAACATTATGTAGTGGGGTCACATCTTAATTGCAGACTTAATGTATGTAAACTCAACTATCCTTGATGGGGGGAAAAAGAAACAATGTAAAAAGATTTAACTCTCTTCTGACTATTTCAATCAATGAGTGCTTGACCCAGAGTAAACGGAGATGACAAATGACAAACTAGTGTCTCCTCAGTCGGTTTTGGTCCCACATATACGAGGCATCTCATTACGCTTAGCACAGTGCCAACCACTGAACATATATAATTATTAAAAATGCATCCCGCTGGACCCATAAATGCAAAACATTTACATCATTCAGGATTCATCTGAGGAAACGGCAGCCTATTCCATTCCAAGAAGAAAGTGTGTCTATGATTAACTTTTCTATGTGTTCTAATTTTAGGACAATTGAAAATATTTGAGAGTAATTCTGGACTCAGACGAATTCCTTACACTTTGAAGCAAACACGTTTGTAAAATTCGAGCTCCCTGTCTGGCGTTATGAGACACCAGAAAGGATGCAGGAGCGGGCTTAGCAGAGGCGGCTGTACTCACGGTCGGCGTCAGCAAACACGATGCAGGGGCTCTTCCCCCCCAGCTCCAGGGTGACCCTCTTCAGATTGCTCTTCCCAGCAGCTTCTTTGATTAGTTTGCCGACCTGAAACGCAGCATTGCCAAGGAGGCCTTACTATGTGCTCATGAAGACAGGTCTAACATTTTACATTTATCTGAGTTTGTGACCCTATTAGATTTCACCGGGAAGAAACACTACATGGCATTGTTTTCCATAATTAGCACCTGGAGACTTAAAAGTCTCCTCTACCCAAATACTACGCAGATACAGAGATTAACTACAAAAATGTTCGTGGGTAGTAGCACAGACGTACAGAATACAAGTAGTCTTGATAAGCATGGTTAGAACGGAGGGTATTCTCATTTTCATCAGAACTGCATCTCTCTACACATTGATCCAACACGCTCTGACCCAACTCCAAATTACTTCTTGGACTTTCAACTTCTCTGTCCTGACATTGCAGAACTCTGTCCAGCCAACTGCTGTATCCCCTGCCTCTTGAATGCCATTTCTTTTTCTCATTTTATACCCATCCTCATCTGGCTTGCATTCAAGTCCTGCCCTTATTTGGGGTCCAGCCCAGATGTTAGCTCTTTCTTCATTTCTTCCCTTATACCTGTTTACACATGACCCTTTTTTCTCCTGGTCTCCCAATAAGCCTCATAATCATTCTTTCATAGCTAGAGACTGCCTCAAATTGTATTAGTTTTATAAGTATAAATTTTTCAAGGAGATTTTCACCTCCATGGTAGTAATTACCTTATACTATCGCTACCTCTTCTCAGTACTGTTTATTGCAGTGGACTCCTTTAACTCTCTTTCTCTCTCTCTCTCACTCTCTCCTTGCACCTCCCCACTCCCTTCTCCACCACACACACCTATGGACAGTGGAGTTAGAAGACAGACATTGTATCTGTTCTGCGCTATTACGTCAGTTAGGTGGACTCCTACTGTTCAGATTTCCTCCTGAAAGCCAGCTGTCTCTTCTCTGACAAAGACATTGTTTTCATTTACTTATTTTCTTCTTTGCAGGTTACTTCTCATAAAGATTATTGTTTGTAGTTATTTTTGTTTTTGTACTTCCAAACCATGACTTATTTTAATAATTTTATTATTTTTATTGACACTTTAATCCATTAAAATGATCTTTGCCTTTCCCTTTTATATAATAATCTATTTCATTTCCTTCAGTCTCTGGATTTCTTTTCCTTCTATGGGTGTCATAAGAAGTTCCTATTCCTACTAAAAGGAAAGGTAAATTGTGCCTTCACATTTCACGTGGTTACTGCAGTAACTGGCACTGTGCATTACTGAACAGAGTAGTAGCGAATCTGCTGACAAGGCTTCGTGGACTCAATCAGTCCCCTGAAAGTGGGTTAATAAAAATCAACAAAATATACACCTATTAGGGAAACCCTGTCTGAAAATTCACTTAGAGTCTATTTTCCTTTCAAAACACATTTCATGGGACCATTTTCAAAAACTGAATTTTCATTTAAGGTGATTAAGAATTTTTTTCTTGCCCCTTTAAAGCTCAATTTCAAATTTAACGAGGATACTTAACATTTGTAAAACACCAGAGGAGTAGTGTGAGCATGTGAACCCAGAAGTTCCTAGTCTTCTAAGGTCAAGGTTTCTTTCCTGTGGGTACAGAGTCCCCACAGTGCCCTAGGAGCTTAGTGATGAGCCAAGACTAACAGGAAGTGATGCTGGCAGTGGGTCAGGGGCGGCAGACAGACAAGAGAAGTAATGACCAGGAAATACACCTGTGTCTCTACTGGGGAAAGTTTACAACCCTAGGCTGGGGAACATGTGCCTTCCTTCCTGTATGTTCTCTGCTATGATTTCAGTCATCTTAATAGTTATTGCCATGTCTTCTACATGCTCAACTGCCCATAGAAATCCTGGATGCAGGATTGTATTTTCCTTATCTCAGGCATTTGCACAAAGCAACTTATTTCTACTCTGGCTATGAAGGGCAAGGTTTTGGGGGCGTGGTGAAATATATATATATATATATATATATACATTTACCTACTTTAGAAAATCAAGAACAGTAAGATTTAAGATCTCGTTTCAATTTTCTATGCAAATGAGGTTTTTAAAAAACTCCTTACTAAGATTACAAAATAATCAAATTACCTTCAATTCACTACCTAGATATGTAAGCGTCCAATCTTTTGGTCTTCCTGGGTCCCACCGAAGGGAAGAGAAATTGTCTTAGGTAGTATAAAAAGTATATAACCTAATGATGTACATGAGTAACAAAGCTTTCTCTTTTATTGTTTTTGTTAAGACATTTTTTAAAAGGACCAGTGGCTTATAGACGGCAGGGTGGAGAGCCTTCTGGAATGTTCATTTTGTTTATCAATCTTCAGGGGGCTCAACATGTAAACCATTCATCAAAAAGCAGAGGAAGTTTTAGCAGCATTCTTGAGATCAATACTCCTTCTCATGCATCCCGTCAGAGCGGTTTGCACATATTTCCCCACATAGCGCATCCTGCTTTGTTTCTTACTTATGTCAGCAACTTTCTAAGATAGGGTCATGATCTCTTTGTCCTTCAGGTCCTTCCATGTACCAAGGAGAGGTGTACGTTAATTTTAATGTTGAACATCTAACAATGTCATAACTTAGTACAATGACTCAAGAATTATCTTTTGCTTGAACTAGTATAATTTCTTCAGTTTCTTTGCTTAGGATATCAATCACCCTCCCAAAGACTACCATCCGGCTGCTTGCTCCTCTCTCCTTCTACTTTCAGTCCCCATGGATGGAATACTTCTGCACACGCACACATATGCATCTGTGTGTGTGTGTGTGTGTGTATGCGTGTGCATGTGTGTGTGTTTTAGCTTTGGGATAGCCAAGCTGGAGATAGAAAGCAGAAAGATAAAGTGATCTCAGGGAAACTGAGCTTCTGGTGCCCTTTCAGAAGGTACCAGCGAGTCCCAAATAAGGCGCTCAGGGTGAGGTACTACTTCTCAATTTTTATAATCTACAGGATAGAATTGCATTCATTCACACAAAACACTGTGGCCTAATTTACATTTTCTATCATAAACTTTACCAGTCGTGTGACACAGACCAAGTGGCTCTATTCCTTACAAGGAAAGTAATGAGCACGCTCAGAACAGTCGAGTCCTTTGAGGTTTGTAATCAATATTTCATTTCATTTAAACTGTAACTGCTGATGTTGTACAAACAAATTTGAAAGCTAGAATAAAGAACAAATCATTGAAATGATCTTCTGTTATAAGGAAGTGTTGCTTTCAAAATAGTTACGTAAACATCCTCGGAATAATTAGAGATGGTGCCGTTTTTAATGGCTGCCCGAGTCAGTGGCATTACCTCCGTGGACCCCGTGAAGGCCACCTTGTCGACATCCATGTGCGAAGAGATGGCTGCCCCTGCGGTGGGCCCATAGCCAGGGACAATATTCACCACTCCAGGAGGAAAACCTGCCTGAAGGGATAAAAAGCAAAACAGTTACAACAGAACTCAGAATGATGCAAGAAAGGGGTACACGGGATGGAGGCTGCTTCTTCGAGGTAACTTTGTGAGTTGCTTTACAAAGAAAACTGCACTGAGGCAGCTTTATTCCTCATTCCTCATTATTATGATGTCATTTCTTAGCCTATATGAAAATAACCTCAGTGGAAGCAATCATAGGCAGTTGGAAACAAACAACATTATAGCACTGAAAGGGTTCTATATTAATTTCAACATGAATTTGAGTGTGTGAGAGTTGGACAAAAGCAAGAAAATAACGACTATGTGACTGACTCCAAGCCTCTGGTGTGGCTTCTGGTCTGCATTTGGGAGGGTACCCATGAGCACTGACTGCCAAAAATCCCAGCTGGCAGCCCGGCTCCGGGCGTCCTCGCCACTGGATGGAGCCTCTGAGCAGAATGGAGCTGACAGTCGCACTAAGGAGGGCCTCCCTTTGCAGCTAGGGCTCTGGGCTTCTTGAGCACACTTGGACTCAGGAAGCTTACCTCTTTAATTAAGGAGGCCACGTGAAGGGCAGTGAGGGGCGTTTGCTCTGCCGGCTTGACAACCACTGTGTTTCCACAGCTGAGGGCGGGCCCGAGCTTCCACACCAGCATAACCAACGGGAAGTTCCACTGAAAAGCAATATTCCACAATGCAGTGTTTGTTTTGCTCAAAGGCACAGATGTCAATAACTGTGACATTATACAGTTCCTCCCTCCCCTATAGTTGTTAAATAATGACTTCAGCAGTTTTGACAGGCGTCCAATGTGTTCTATTCAAGGTCATGGCCAGAAGGAACTAGTAAATGATAGTTCTCTGACTCAAGCAGATAGAAGCAGGCACAAGGAGAGAGTACCATTTTTAAGCAAATGTTGCTATGTTGAATTCCTATTTTAGCAGGAGAAAATTACTGTGTGGTTTTGCCTACAAACAAGCATATGAGCTATCAATTAAACTATCTATGTTTTAAAAGGTATGATCATCTCTTCCTTGTGTAGGTCATTTTTGATATTTAGTAAATAATGTTATTTAGCAACATTTATTTACAGGGAAAATATTCTTTTCGTATGGTGCTGGGTTCCAACCCTGGGCTTTGTACGTGCTAAGCATATGGTGTTCCACTGTGCTACATCTCCAGCCAAGGACAATAAATCTTGTTTAAAAAAAAGACATCTAGGGTTCAAAGCAGGAGTGTTTGGGCTCAGATCTCAGCTTGATCGCTGACCAGTCGGGTGAAATCAGGTGGGTTTTTTTTTTTTTTTATTTTATTTGTTTTTGTTTTTTCCTTTGGTACTAGGATTCAAACTCATGACCTTGCGCTTGCCAGGCAGGCACTTTGCAGCTGAACTAAATCCCCAGCCACCGAAATCAGGTGTTCTTGTTTGCTGACCAGTCAGGTGTTCTCTGTGTATGACTTTAACACCTGAAAGTGCCAGTAATATCCTCCATACCTCAGAAGGTTGTCCTGAGAGTTAACTATGTGGGGTAAATGTTTAAACACATTAATTATCATTAGTATTTAAGGTTATGAAGGTTTTTTTGTTTTGTTTTGTTATTTTTGAGATAGGATCTTGCTATGCAGTTGAGGCTGGCCTTGAGCTCACTTTGTAGTCCAGGCTGGCCTCAAACTCGCAATGGTCCTCCTGCTTCAACCTCCCGAGTGCTGGGATTACAGGTATTTGACAACACATCCACTATGGAGTTGTTCTGACAAACCAGCAATTTCATTAAGAATGTTGATATGAAGGGCTTCTGGGATGTGGGAAAAGAGAAGGGAAAGAAGGAGAAATTTTGTATGTATGTATATACAGGATAGTTAACGTGGTTGTTCTTCTGTCTTCTATTTCTATGCTGAAAGAAACTGTCAATGAATCTTTGGTTGACCAGTATTGCATGTTTATATCTGTTTTCACGAGAAGCCACTTTGAAGATATCAATATGTAATACAACCACCATTGTTAATTCCCTACCACTTTGTTTGTAACTCTGTGTTGTCTGTATTGTGCTTGTGATATGTTGTAAAATGTTGTATGTCTGTTAATGTTTCCCTCCTTTTATCTTTAAAATAATAATTAAAAAAAAAAGAATGTTGATATGTTCACTTTTTAAACTCATTGATTCAAAAGATAAGCCATTATATTTTCCTCATTTAAGAGCTTCAGAACACTTTAAATCTCTTTAGTTGACTTTTCAAGAATTTCAGCTATTCTGAGACAGTCTTCTCTCTGTTGAGTTTAAAGAAAATATTCATAATTTCCCTTAAAAATGCTATTTTTCTTGTAGGGGAATTTGGAGTATGAAAGCCACTTATCTAAAGAGGTGATATATTCCATAAGTGCTCCACATGTTTCTGGTAGCATTTATTACATTTTAATTAAAAAGTATCTTTAAGGACTTAGACACTTGTTGCTACTCCTGTCTGTGATGAGACGACTCAGAAGAGACAGAGTGGTGGGGAGCAGGAGGCACATCACCCTGGAGGGCCGTCCCACAGCAGAGGAGCCATGCTCATCTCTGTCCCAGGCTTACAAAGCATGGCTCTTAGCAGGAGTGCATAATACAAGTTTTTGAGAACAACCTGTAGAGTAAAAGTTGAGATTTGTTGATGCAATAATACGGAAACACGCCCAAGAGTTAGGTCAGGGTGTGGCTAGTTTTCTGTACTGCCTAATTCAAATCCCAGAAATTCAGTAACAGAAAGAGCAGGTTAAACAAGTCCTACTTGATGAAATTCACATCACATTTAGCCAATATACAAGCATCCATTTGTAGAATAAATTATGTCACTAAATGAAATAAAATTCTTATCTTCTTTTTTTTTTTTTTTTGTAAGTATATAAGAGAGCAACTTACAGGGATGATTTGGCCACATACTCCAACAGGTTCATGTCTTGTGTAAGTGAAGAAGTCTCCATCTGGAAAATAAAGCACACACTCAGCTGTACAGGGAAGTGGTATATTCAATGCTTGTGGGGTGGAGGCTGAAAGTTGGTGTGAGAGGAAGATGAGATAAATATATAATTAACAAAGAAGAAGGAAGCATATCTTCAATAATTTACAGAACAAAACGTGAGCCCTCAAATAGTTTGGAATGATATCAATCATAAACCCGAGTTAGATAAAAGTAAAGATGCAAGATTGGAAAGTATCTGAAAGATAATTCTGCTTTTCATCATCAAGGAGGGATGTGGTCTCTATTATTGGAACTCTCAAAGTTTCATAGAAAAAAGAAAGAGCAATGAGGTAGGGTCATATCTAGCTGAAGAAGAATGATATTCAAGTGCATTTTCAGCAGCTCAAAGTTCTACCAGTAATATGATCCCTTTTAAAAAGTCATATGATTAAAAACAGTGAAATTTAAAAAAAGAGTTCCTAGAACTAATAAGCCTTTCTATGGATTTGCTCTGACATGTTTACTTCTGCCTACTTAACAAAATACAAGGGGGCTGGGGATTTAGCTCAGCAGCACAGCACCTGCCTGGCAAGCGTGAGGTCCTGAGTTCAATTACCGGTGCTGGAATCAAAACAAAACAAAACAAAACAAAACAAAACAAAAAAATTAATCTAAACAAAATATAAGCTCTCTTATACAGGGGCCTGGATGCACAGAAAAAAGGACATTTTCCTGTCCAGAGCTGACCAACTAATGTGTTCCACAGTCTCACGTGGCCTTTCGGAGAGCACCATTGCTCTTTGTGTTCAGTTCTACGACATTCTCCAGAGCAAGGCCTGTCTTTCTGAAGATCCACACGTATTTGAAGTGCCTTTTCCCATGTGGTCTGAGGGTAAAGTAACATAGTCACTAAGACAGATACATTTCTCAGTACCACTAGGGTTTAATTTTCCATGTGTCGCTTCATGACCACCACTGTAACATACTGGATGTCCAGTTAGATTAGAAACACACACTAGGGCCAGTCTTGTCAGTGTGTCTTATTGTTCCAGGTAGTGCATTTACATGAGTTATACTCTTCCCACACTATTTCTCAAATTGATGCTTTTCCATATGAAATATTTTTTATGTTTCTATGTGTATATCCTACTAATAAATATATACGCCCGCATTTGTATATACAAATCCTTACCTCAGGCTATAAACATAGCTATATCTTATTTTGAAGCTATTTGAAACAAATCAGTACGAACTAGTTTGTTTAATTATTCTGGTCTCACTGTACTGAGTTTGAGCAGGCACAGATAACCACAGCTGGTCCATGGTGGAGATGCAAAGAGGCTTAAATAATTACATTATGGAGGGATATAAATGTCACGAGAGCAGTGGAATCCAAATAACTAATGTCAGAGGCGAGCTATGAAAAGTTTAGGCTCTTCCATAGTTGCCTTAAATCAGTAATTGTAGCCATAAGAATGTTCCTACTTTCATGGTTTCTAAAATATCCATGGTGTTATGTTCTGTATGATTATATTGAGACAACTTTAAAGTCATTCGCTCAGTCATCACAGAATTTGCTAGTTTAGAACTGTGTTGGCTTAACATCAGGTGAAAATAATTTTATTTTGTTTGGCTGGCCTCTTCAAGAGGGAGCCATTGAAATGAAATCATTCAGGTCTACAGTGATCACCTCAGCCCTACCCCGCCCTGGAGGTCTCCCAGTGCTCCTCACCGATAGGTATGGTGCGGCCCTGGATCTTGTCAGCCCAGCCTGCACAGTAGTGTAACGTTTTTATGCAGCCCCCTAAATCCATCAGATACGCATTAGAAAATAACTTTCCAGCATTCATTGACTCCATTGTCTGAAAAACAAAAATGTTAAATTCTATAAAATTTCAGATATAAAAATACACATACTCATGATTTTGAATAATTATGTGCTACAGAATTTTAGAAACACAAGAAATCTTATTTTGTTTAATTAATTGCCTCTTTAAAAAGGAGACTCAAAAAGAGTTAAAATAACTCACACACTCGTATAACAAGATCTAATTAGAATGGGTAGGAGATTCCAGTGATTAAACCCGCTGCTGTTTCTTTTGATACACAATTCAGTACATAATATTCCATTCCTTGCACGGAGGTGGTACATGTGCATAACACATCTTTGTTCCTTTTCTTGTGCCCACTCTATCTCCTGAGCCCTATCCCATCTGGGAAAGATCTATCTGCCTACATCTTAGATCTAGTTCTTAGTTTGCTCTTTATTTATTATTTGGGTTTTTCACATAAGAGAAACCACATGATATTTAAGTTCAGTATCTGATTTATTTAAATTAACATTATGGCCTCAAAGTGTGTCCATTTCCCTACAGATAACTCAAGTTTATCTGAAAGAAAGAGTAGTGTTATATTTCATGTAAATACTACATATTTTTTATTCCTTCATCTGTTGATGGACATATAGTATAGGCTACCTCCAAGATTTAACTTGTCTCATTCCGAGTGTCCCCTGGCTAACCAGTGTTTGAGGAGTTGATCACAATTTTATATGCCTGAAGGAGAAAATAGTATGCAATTTCCTTGGTCAGATGAGAAATGCAACAAGATTTCACTTGTAATCCAAACATGGTGATGGTTTAACATTAGTGCCCATTTCTCATATTTCTCTAATTGTTTTTATTTTTTAATTCCATCTCGATATAACTAATCCACTCACATGAGCATAACATCTGGATCCTTTATCCATGAATTTTATTCAGCAGAATTTTCAGTGATGAAACGCCTTTGGGCATTCCTGTTATAATTTGAATGATCAGTTCTTTCAAATTATACTACTGTCACTTGAATGATCAGGCTATAAAATTCAACATTTTCTGGTTCTCTAGCATAATTATTATATGGTACCCTCTCTCTTCTTTTTCTTCTTTGCTTAAAATGAAATTCAGGACTAAAGATGGAGCTCAGCAGAACAAATGCCTGCATGGCGCTTGAGTTCAATTCCTGGTACCAAAAAAAAAGGTGCTGTGCCGCTGAGCTAAATCCCCAGCCCCTAGAATTTTTTTTAAAAAGCACACATAGACACACAATTTTTGCTGGTTGTAATGGTGCGCACAAGTGACCCCAGTATTTGGAAGGCTGAGGCAACACAGTGAGTTTGAGACCAGCTTTAGATACATAGGTACTCCAAAGTATGCCTGAACTACATAGGGAGACCTTGTCTCAGGAAAACAAAAAAAATATAAATACTTTTTATTTACATATTGAGTTGGATTTCATTTCTATATTTTTTTTGCCCTTTTCACTTGTGAAAAAGAAAAATTACATCATTTAATCATGAACATTGTGAATAGACACATTAAATATTTTGGTGAGCTAAAGTGAGGAGAAATAAGATTTATTATAGAGAAATATTTTGGATATCTACAACAAAGTAAATGATATTTTCCAGTAAGACTTCAGGGCCACATAAGTTTGAGAAACCAATATTCCAGAAGATTTACACTGCCTATCACCTTGCTAAAGACTTGTTACAGTTCTAAAGTAAAGATTCATCTTTAATTTGGCTTAAGTGAGGAATTGCCAAAGCTTATGCTGTAGAATCAGTTGTGGGAGCAGAAGTTAACATCATCCATAACTAGAAAGTGGATAACTATTTGAGAATAAACTCAAGGGTTGACATTTCTTTAGGATAAGGAGACTAACTCTTTTCCTTTTTTCACAGGGTGCATGTAATGCTCAGTAAAACCAATCATGTTGCCAGTTCAAACAGTGAATGCTTTAGCGAGCTCTCCCTATGCATCCAGTTTGGTTATACTCACTGCCAGCAGTAGACGATCTCTTTCAATTAAGTCAGCCAGCTTGTGTAGGAGGCGGCCCCTCTCTGAAGCATCCATAGTACGCCACGGAGAGCCAATCTGAAAGGCCTGTCTTGCAGCCTGCACTGCTTTGTCGACATCTGCCTGTAAGTCAGGGGGAATTCAATTCAATGCACTCATCCTATTGGCAGAGCAAATCCAATGGCAATAACCCTTTAAAACAGGCTGTAGCTAGTCATAAACAGATGCTGTGTCTCCATTACCTCAAAGTCTAGCATATTCTACACAATCAACTATGGTAGGTTGGACTGACACCTGCTGAGTAATCTTTAGAATGATGAGCTCCTCACACCTGACATGGACCTGACTTCCTAGAATATAACTATTAACAATATTTTCCTAGTTGCTGTCATTTGAGTGTTTACCATATTTGGAATACTGCTCTAATAACTTTATATATGTGAATCCATTTGATTCTCAATAATCTCATAGGGCTAATATATTCTTCACTTAATAGATGATAAAAAACAGAAGAGGACAGATTTGCTCCAGGTCAATAACTGAATACGCTGAACTGAGGTTTAATGAAGTCCCTCTAACCGTGGATCCCTTGTTCTTTACCACTTTTTCTGCTTCTTTGGTGACTGAGATGCAAAATTTCCAAGCAAACTCAAGATCCTAAAAAGTGAATACATTTTCTGCCTTCTGGGTACTCTACAATTTGTGCATACTCATGAAGAACTTACTGAGAACTGAATAAGTACTTTTCTTTGCTATTGAAGAGTAAGCATTATAAACATGCACTCATTCTTTCTGTGCAGAGGGCAAAAGGCAGAGGAAAAGTGGATCGGTTTGTAGAGACCTCTGCATGGGATAAGCCCTCTTTCCCTGGCTGGGTACAAAGAGATCTTTTTAAATTCCTAATTAAGTAAAGAAAACAGTTACTTTTAATTGATAATGCACCATTTACACTGATCCCCACAATAATGAAATTGTTAAGTACTGCAAACAGGTATTGATAAAAAAGAAATTAATTCTGTGACAAATTAAAAAAAAAAAACCTACATTGATTCAAACAAAAGCCAAATAATAGAATAAATCCACACCAACAAAGCCTTTTTAAGTAGCCTCCTGGCTTTCATTTGAGCTGCTTTCTGTCATACTTTTTCTCCTGTGCTGTGTTTTTCTAATCCAGGTAGGTATACTCTTCCAGTGTTCTGCTAATGAACCCTGGTTACTGCCTTCCCCCTATAGATCCTTATGCAGATACCCAGTCATCTCCTATAAAATTCACCAACAATGAAACCACCATTCTTACCTTTCTAATTCACATGGTTTTTGCTTTCCCCTCCAAATCCATTGCAAATACATTAAATCCCAACACCCCTCCCACATTTTTGCTACCTAGAACTGACCCCTGTGGAACTTCAGAAATCTCAACATCACAGACCAGAAGATTACAACTTTTTGCAGAGGATGTAATTCCCTTTGAGAATTAAGGTGGGAAGAAAAAAACCAACTATTTTGTTTAAAAATTGCTCAAATTTAATCTAAATTCCAGTCAAGAATGATGTCTCCCTCTTGGAGGCCTCCTCATTAGACTGGATTCAATTAAAAAGTCACAAACCTACAAGTCTCAAAATTATCAAAGTAGGAATAACTAAAAATGTTTTTAAATAGCTATGTTCTTTAATTTATGATAAGGTTGATTCCTCATACACCTGTAAGTTGAAAATACTGTGAGTCAAAATTGCATTTTGTACACCTGACCTATTGAACATTATAATTTAGCCTCGCTTGAATTAAATGTGCTCAGAATGCTTATAATCTCATTTAGTTTGTTTAAGGCAGTGCACAGTATAGCATTGGCTGTTTATACTTGGATCATGTAACTGACTGGTAATTGTGGTTTTCTGTTGCTGCTTAGCAATGAAAAACAATATTGTATAGCTTTTACTACCCTGGTGGAAAAAATTAAAATATTTCTATTGAGTGTATATTGCTTTTGCATCTTAGTAAAATTAAAAATTGGAAGTTGAACCATTACAGATTGTGGATCATCTGTATTGATCACCAAACTAAGATGATCTGAAGCAAGAGAGATTTCTTAAAAGTATAACCTGGTCTGAGTAAGTGATGATACATATTGACTACAAGCAACAATTTTTCAGTGTAATATATGACACTGATATACCTCACCATCACAGGTGGGAGAATGGTGTATATATACAACCAATTGTATGGGCTCACAACTTCTTCCTGAGAAATGCATGCAAAGTGCATATTTTGAGCATTCAGTGAATCATACTGATTGCATATCTGTGGACATTGCTTTATGCCATAAGTTCTAGCTTTCTAGTGTTAAATTCAGAAAGTACTCTTTAGAAAAAGAGATAGAGAAGCAAACCACAGGAATCTGACATTGTCAGTTTGATGTGTGGATACCATGGCATATAAAATGTTTGCTTCTCTGTGTTTAAACAGATCTGTGTGACACAGCTTTCATTTCAATCCTTTTGCTAAGCGTTCTGCCATTGGCCTCAGTCGAGTACGGGGTATCAGAGGTGTCATGGCCTCCACCGAGATGCGGAGGAACTGGCTTCTAGACAATTACTTCTTTGTAGGAAAAGAAAAGAAAACATTCTTAGAAAATGTTGTTATCAATAAAGATATTCTTGTGGTTGTATGCTTTGGATCATATTTCTCTTTTTCCCACATCCAATATTTAATTTTTCAGGAGCAGTAATAGAGAGAGTAATGATAGTTAACTTATAGTTTTGAAATAAAAAAGTAGATTTAAATTCTGATCTCTCCCTATGAGCAATGTAAGTTTGGAGGCATCCAGTCATCTACATCAATCCATCCATCCATCCGTTTCATACCCAATCTGCCATATAACATTCTTCTCTTCAGTCTGCTAACGATAGAATAGTGAACTGAACAGCTTGTCCTTCTGAAATATTCAATCAAATGGGTGGTACATATAACCAATCATCACCCCACTCTCTTAAATACCATGAATGACAATTACCTGTCAGTATTCTCAAGGAATTGGTCCCAGGACCACATTAATGACAACCTAAATCTACAGATGCTAAAGACTTATGTAAATCAATATAATATTTTCTCATCTAACCTACACACATTCTCACATATAATTTCAATCATCCCTGGATTACTTACAATACCTACTGTAATGTGAATGCTATGCAAATAGCTGTTCTATTTGTTCTCTAAACAAACAATACCATATTGTTTAGAGAGTAATAAGAAAACCATCAGTACACATTCAGTATAGACCCATCCCCGGTAGGCCTAACTTCACAGTTTATGTCAGCAACATCACCATGGTTGGTTGATGCTGTGGAAGAGGAATTTGTGGACACAAGATGCCTACTCTATTCTGAGGTAAAATGCTGTACTACATTTTTAAAACTCAGTTTTCTGATCTGTAAATTCAAGGTGGGTGACCTCACAGGGTTGTGTTGAAGGTTATATAAATAACCCTTGAGATACAATTTCATGTGGCAGATATTATGTTGTTCATTATATAGATATGATTGTTATTATAGTCTTAGAAGTCAAACTAGAGTTAAAATAACTTTCAGCAATTCCAGTGCATTGTGATACTTCTTTTTGTTTTTGCTGCCTGGTAGAATTACAGGCTTTTATTATTTTATACTGTTGACAGCCTGTCCTGTTCATCCTCTCCCTTACCTTACTGTGTTGCCTAGAGCTACCAGGCTAATCTCTCTCATACAATTTTATCTTATCACTCTCTATTTCAAGGTTTGCAACTGTTCCCTTTCACCTGCAGTCCAAGGCCGGACTCTTCTGCTTGCTTTTCAAAGTCCAATATTCTTTGCCTCCCTCCCTCAACTGGCCCATAATTTGCATTCTCAGTTTTTTCTGCCCTGACTCAGCTCTTTATTGCTGTATGATCCCTCATGCCAAGAATGTTCTGCCAAAACACTCTATGCTTTCAAAATCCTACACATTTTTAAAGGTTCAGCTACTACAACTATATAAATCCTTGCTGGAGTATTCAGTTTGATGACACTACTAAGTAAGAGACTGCTAAACTTGATGTTTTCTACAGTCTCAAGTTACCGATGTAATTTTTATCCATCTTGTTTTACACATGCTTAGGTCTCATGAACATGCAATCCAGTACAGAGTAGAACCAAACTTTGATCCCATATCTGACCCAGTTCTAGGTTTTATAGCTTTGTGGGGTTGTTATTATGTATTTGTTGCAATTAATATTTACTACTATCTGTATTTGAAGCTATGGTATTTTTTTATGACTCTGTGCCTACAATAAAAAGTTAATAAATATTTCATAATCTCATTAACTACCTTCTACACCCATCAAGTTACTCTGATGTTTCATAAGGATATATCTTACATAACATATTAGCATTTACATCATAAGCGTATTTTAATTGAATCCATTGTATAGCAAAGCTTTTACATTATCCATAGCCGGTAGGCATAAAAGCTTATTTTCTCTTTTTCTCTTTTTAAATTTCAAGTCTAACATTTTTATTGTAAGATGGGGATGTTCAAAGATATAATCTTTTAATTAACCAGAAAATAATTTGGTACATTAACTCAAACTTGCTATGAGCAGTAACACTGTTGCCTTTGGCATTTAAAATGTTTTTTTAATTGTTTGTCTGTTTGGTTTTTCGAGGCAAGGTCTCCTTATGTAGTTCAGGCTGGCCTTGAACTAAATATGTAGCCCAGGCTGGCCTCCAACTCATGGGGATCCTCCTGCCTCAGCCTCCTGAGTGTTGGGATTACAGACCTATGCTACCAGGCCTGGGAAATTTTTTTTTTTTTTTAAAGTAAAGATCCACAAGCTGTGTCCATGAAGGTAGTTTGAATGATGATGGACTATCAAATGCCTCCTAAGCTCTGCTAAGGAAGATTGAACCCTTCAGTCACTACCAGCTCATACATTTCCTTATTAAATTCATTCAAAGGTGAGGGAAATGGTTATCAGACCAGTTTTATTTTTACACCTCTCAAAAGCCCTTTCTTTAATGGACATTTACTTTTAACCCCACCAGGTATGTGTTAGTTCATGCTTTCGTGGTAGAGGCAGTTTTCAGGGTTAGTCTATGCAGCCTAAAAGACCCACTGAAGTGCAAGGAAAATGGCTCCCACCCACACTTGCGCTTTGTTCTATAAACTCCATCCATCACTCTTCTTTTATCTGGATACCACTTAAAGCCTGTTGTTAGCTCCATTCTTCTTCTGCATTAAATCCCTGAAACTTTTGGCTGTTTATCTAAAGAGTCAGGTCCAGAATACTAGGTTTACTGTGACTATATAATTAGATTTGTGCCTTTCACTAAACAATATTAGTTTACATTCATTGGCAAAGTTGTTTGAACAGTAATTATTCTTTAAGGACCAAAGTATTTTTTTTAAATAATTCTAAAAGGAATTCAGTGATAGGAATGCTGGATGTTGAACAAACAGTTATTTTCCTGGTGCCGTCTGTATCACTGACAATTTACTTTAGGTGATCAAATGTCCAGCCAATGCCCTTGTGATTGTGACCTGACTTAAAGCATTGCTGGGTGTCACTAGGTGTCCTTGAGTTCTTCTCTGGGTAGGAATATTGTCAATAAGCACTCAGTGACACACTGCTCAAAGGCTAATGGTATAATTGTCAACTTTCTCTTACTACTCCTTACGAGAAGGTAAATCCCCCAGACTGTGCCAAGAAAAGGCCTCAGACTACCTTGGAAGGCTTCAGCTGTAACCCAAGCACAGACATGTGCTCTCCCCCTGGAAAAAACCCTAAGGCAAAGCAAGATGTTATCTATGAGACCAATGGCCAAACTAAGTGCTCAAGGCTCCATAGCTAAAACATAAAGGCTATATATTTTTTCTTTTATTAGTTTCAAACTACAAATGTTCGACAGTCTTTCTGTGAGTGACATTCATAACCGTAGAAAGAACACGAGCTAACACAGCTTTGTTCTACCTGCACTCAGATATTTATTGCTTTTTTACTTATTCTTGCCTGAGCCACTGAACCAACTAGATGAGCATTTGAGGTAGTTATGTGTGGATCTCTAGAAATCTCTGACACTGGGTATTTGTTCTTTTTTTCTGAATGCAAAAAATGTGTTCTCTTGTTTCTGGGAATAGCTCATAGTTTTCAGGCTTCTGAATCTTCTGTAGCACTTTGCCAGGGGTGATCAATATTTCTCTGCCTGTTTGGTCTTGCAAAAATTCATGCAGGGGCAGAATGGATGTGACAGCGTGATTTCCAACCCCATTTTACCTCTCCAAGTCTGGGCTCTACTCCATCCATCTATCCAAGCGATTTTCACAAAGACACTAAAAACATACATTAGACAAGAGACAGCCTCTTGAGTAAATCACGCTGGGAAAACTGTTTATATGTGAAGAATGAAATTCAACCCCCACCTCTCACAAGATACATAAATCGGTATAAACTATACCAAACACCTACCTGAAAGATCTGAAACTGTCAAGCTACACTGGCAAACACTTCAATATTTTGGACTAAGCCATGGTTTTTGGATGAAACCCCAAAAGCACAAGCACCGAAACAAAGATAGACAAATAAATTTATATAAAACTAAAAATGGTATGAAGAGCAAACAGTTAAAAAGCCCAACTATAGAATGGGGAAATGGGTAGACTGTACTTCTGATAAGGAATTAATGTCTACCATATTAGAAGATTTGAAACAATAGAAAAAACATTCTGATTTTAAAATGGGAAAATGATCTGAACAATGTCAATACTTTATTTTGATTGATATCTTCTTACAGATTGGATATTGTCAAAGAACTCAAACATGCCAAATGTTAGTGAGGATGTGAGCCCTCACTAACCCCTACATACCTGTGGTGAGAATGTAAATTAGTACAGTCATTATGCATAATAGCATGAACATTTTTAAAAAATTAAATTAAATTACTATGTAATCCAGCTATCCCACATCTGAGTATATCTCCAAACAAAGTGAAATGTTACAATATTATCTGCAAAAAAAAAAAAAAAATAATAATAATACCTGCATTCCCAGGGATAGCTCTGTTAATTGCAGAACTATTTATATGAGCAAACATATGGAATCAACTAAGATGCCTGTCAGGAGATAAGTGGATAAAGAAAATGTGGTATATGTGCAATGGAATATGATTCATCTATAAAAAAATTATTCCTGTCAGTTGAGGCAAAATGGATGAGATCAGAGGACATTGTGTTGAGGGAAATGATCCAGTCACAGAAACACAAATTTGTTATGTTCTCACTAATAGGTGGAAGACAAAAAGTTGATTTCAAAAAGAAAGTGTAACAGTAATTAGCAGCAACTGAGAAGGAAAGGAGAGAAGGGTGAGAGATGGGGGTTGAATAATGGGTTCAAAATACAATCAGAGAGGAGGAGAAATTCAAAATCGTTAGGAGGGTAAGTTGTGATGTCCCACAGCACGCTGAAGTGACTGAAGTGTACAGTTGTACTTTTTATGTTTCATAAGAACTAGAAGAGGCTGTAAACCCAATGAAATGATAAATGTATGAGCAGTATAATTTGCTTGCTGTAATCATTACACATTTTATACCTATATTTCATTTTGCATGTATTACATAAAATACATTCTACATATAATAGAGCTTATCTCCTTGGCAATTACAGAAAGAACCCTTGTCCCTTGTTAAATGCTAAGCAGCGAGAGGAGATATAACTTACTGTTTAATAGTTTAGTTCAGCGTTTTCACAATGTATTCCCCTACTTTCTCTTCAGCCATAGCTGCGTTTGCTGAGAGTTTGCCAGAAATGTGAATTCCTGGGCTTCACTCTAGTGTTCTAAAAACAAACTCTAAGGGAGGTGAAGGTTTGTATCTTAACCAGGTATCCAGGAAATTCTGATGAGGGCACATTTTCTGGATCATTACCTTTGTCAACAGCCAGGTGAGTGCTAGATTCCTAGGGTGTGGGGCAGGTGGAAATTCAAAGGTTGATTCAAGAGAAGACTGTTTCATCGAGACATTTGTACCAGAAGCTGAGTTGTGAAAGTGTGAGGTGCAGTGTTGGTCTCTACAAAATCACACTATCTAGACTAATTCATCAGTACCCATGCGCTTCTAGTACAAGTGTTATGGGCAAATGCAATGTCCTAAAATCACACAAAAGAGAGCACTTGTATCTGGGAAGATTTGAGAAGGCTTTGAAAGAAGTATAAAAGCACATAATGACTGAGGATTTATAAGTCTGGTGCTCTTGAAGATCTTTGGATATTTTATTTAACCTCCCAAGTATTTCTGATTTCCTCATTTTCTATAAAAAAGAATAGCTGCTCCACGAGGTAAGTGCAAAAAGTGTTACCTCTGGCTGCTACTGCCCATATGACTTGGACAAGTTCCTGAGGGTTGCAGGGTAGAAGGACGCAGAGGCAGTGACCAGCAAATAGCCTTAGGGGAGGGACACTGGGTGTGGTGAATTTGGAAGTCTAAGGTCAGTGAGGTACCCGGGACAGAGCCATAAAAAGTGGTTGAGGACTATTAGAGATGACCATTGCATGCGGACTTTGCCCTTTTAGGTAATGCGCAGCTGAGTGAAGGGAGACCTGAGTGCAAGGGAGCAGCTGAGTGCAAGGGAGAACTCTTCAGTGTGCACAGAAAGCCAAGCCTGAAATCGAGTGCTGTGTCCGTTTCAGTCTGCTTCTCCTTCTCAAAGTCTATTCTGGTCCTGCGGGCATGGGCCTCACTTTGTTCTGACAATTCTACAAAGTATCTAGGGTCTTTAGAAAACCCAAAGTTCCATTGCTTTCTGAGACTAGGCTTGAATGGTTCAGTACATTGAGATTTATGACCTTGTGGATTAAGGCTAAGGCCAATCCACAAAGAGAAAATAGACACTGTACAGGAGCATGAGATTGATCCAACTGAAAGCTAGGGTCATGAATGGTAGTACCCTTGGGTTTTGCTGAATTCATTTCCCAGTAGTATTTTTATGAAGCAAGACAATTTATTGCTTTATAGCTAATCTCCAAAGCAGAGATTTAAAGCTGGATAACACTGAACAACTAAAGAAGAGACAAATTACTTCAAATTGGAAACACATGCACTTTTTATGTTTGTATTTGGGTAAAAAGTCTGAAGGCTTTTATTTTTCTTATTTCTCCAAGCTTTTTAAATTTACCCTATCTTACTTTTATAAAAGTCACAAAGGAAAGCAGTAACCCTCCTAGACACAGGCTCTGGGGTCTGAAGGACATTTGAATGCTGATCTTATGACTTAAGAGAAATGCCATCCTGTGTAAAGTACTTAGTCTTTTTATTCTGCCATTTTATCACCATTTGTACATGTTGCTAAAAATATTACCTTTCTAATAAGGTTGCTCTAAATGTTAAATTAGTAGAGCATTTACAATTTTAAAAAGTCACTGAAGAATTCGGTCACTATTTTGTTAATATTTTAGCTACAGTAAAACTGCACTTTAAATTAGTTACAGTAGTTGAGATATTTTTAAAAGTTCATTTAAAAGCTACAGGTTGATATTAATTCAATGATTTTTAATGAAATAACTTCAAAATGTATTATTTAAAATAATGATTGTCAAAAAATAGTATAGTAACTTTTAAAATTTCACCTAGCAACTTAAAAAGAATGATTTCATATCAATAAAGTATTTCTTGTCTCTTCCAAGGCTGTGAGTAGTCTTTTCTTAAGACTCTGTACAACAAATGTGGACATTATTTCAATTATAAAACAATGCAGAAAAACAATATGAAAAGAAGTCACTACAATAACTCAAGCATACGGTCAATTTATTGGACTTGGAATGTGTTTGGGAGCTCAGAATGGTGAGAAGTAGAGGAACCTGGGATAAAATGGAACTACTGTTCAGAAACTCACCTTATCCCCTTCTTCTACCTCACAGATTTTCTCCTCAGTGGCAGGATTAAGTACAGGAAACTTCTTGCCGCTCACTGAATCATGCCATTCATTGTTTATGAAGATCTGTAGGGTTGTGGAGAAAGTGGGTAAAAGAAAGCATTGAATACGCAGTACACTTTGCAAATGCGTGTGAATTTAAACTAAGTGTTACACAATATCTAAAAAATGTTCTCACCTCAACATATTTGGTTTTATCTTACAATTTACATACAGACACATTATAAGCATATGTGTGCTCTACAACAAAATCAGATTTGTGAAGCTTTAGTAAGGTGTGCAGTCTTTTCAAAGCTAGAAAATACAGATTGGAGAAAAGAACTTAGAAACTGGTGTTTTTAACTGAAGTAGCTGTGCATGTGAGGCCAGAACAGCTTTGGTGGGCTTGATCTTTATAAACCATGACTTCTACTTCCACTTCAAGTTCTGAACATGTTTGTTTTGGCCTCTTGTGATTTGGTACGATGACTGATTATTTTCAGTGCTTTATTTTGTTGTCACAAAGCTAACTTTGGGTTAGAATTTCTTAAGAGATTTGCTTAGAAAAACTTGGCTCATGGCTTGTTTTTCACTGACTCTTAAAGGCATGCAGATTTCATTCTCCTTTTCATCAGAGCATCTCCTAATTTGTCTTCAGATGAGATCAGGTACTAGATTTCTTAGTAGTACTACTGAGAAAGAGACATGCCTCTACAGTACATCCAGAAAGTTTGGAATTTTATTCTGTGAATGGAAGAGACATGTTAAAACCATTAGTATGTCATTTAAAATGTCTGAGATTCAGCTTTTCAGGTCTGAATTTGCATTTCTTTGATAAACCAACTGTAATATTAACTTACCCTTTGTTGGAGAAAAACAACTAAGCCAAATTAAAGAATATCCTTTAATGATGAGTAAGATTATATTCTTTTTATGTCCAATATCAGGATTTTTTCACTTTTGAACCTTTTATTTTTATTTATTCTTCTTATTATTAACATATGAAAACAATCATAAATAACTATTGAGTATTATGTATTGCAAATTTTTGTTAGGTTTATTAAAACATGACTTAGTTTATTTAACTTTGAATCCTAGGTAACTGAAAAATATAATTCTAAAAGAAAGTTGTCTTATATACTGGGTTTGTAACATATATCTTAATTCAGACATTCATCTTTACTTCATATTTAGGGATAGAAATTCATTTTTCTGTCTTGGATATAGCAATATACCACTATGCAAGGTGTAAATCATTAGCAATGCTAACAAAGCATCATAGTTAGTAAAAATTTCTCAGTGACATTTATCGAGATTATATATTCTACACATGAATACATTATGATATTTGTGATTTGCTGGAAACTAGGGTGGAAGACAAGCCTCCTTATTTGCCTGTTCACAGCAATAAAATTGTCCATACAACAAAACATCATCTTATATCTGTTGAAGGTTCAAAAGAATTGTAGTGTGAAGCTAGAACTGACTGGGAGAGGATGTACGCACGAGTATATAGAGGAAGATGTAGACCAAGCGGTTCAGATGAAGAGACTAGATGTGGCAAGATAAAACTATAAAGGTCTGAGAAGAGTAGCCAGCAAATCCTTGCTTCTCTGACAGGGTAACTGAATACAAATGAAGAGCATAAAATTCATATTATCCCTCAAGAGGAATAAAAGTTGGCATCTTCGTTCAAACTGAAGAAAGATAAACCTAAAATCATGACTCTACAGCATCTATCGGGGTGAAACAATACACAGCTATCTGAAACACACTTTGAAGAACCTTATAGTCACCCTTAAGGAATATTTTCTTAGGCATCTCTAATCCTTGCCACTTAGTATTTTTCTTACTAAGGGATGACTGGAAGACACTTCAGCAGTGTTCCCCAAGCTCACTCACTGCTATCTTTACATTTTTGCTGCTCTCACCCCAAACTGAGGTTCTAAAAGCTTTCTAATCCAGACCCGATACCTATATCTCTCTCTCTCTCTGCCCCCTACACACTGTCCTTCTTCATTAATAACACACATAATCCATAGTCACGTTTTTATATCACTTTGTTCATTATTACTGTTTAAACTACTCCCTGCCTCACAGTTGCCTAAATAAAATTTAATCTGCACCCCATTTCTAGAATCTTCCTCACCCGACCAAGTTCACTTTTGTCTGCATGCCTCCTTAGAACTCTTTTGTGATTCCCCCCTTGAACTTCTTAGCATGTCACTTGAGGGGGTTTATGATTTGGGCTCAATATCCTCTTCCAAACTACGGTCCCACTGCTCCCCAAAGTTGCCTTTTGCTTCTGTCTCATTCTACTGCAACTTTGTGCCATGCCCTTCTCTGCTCCACACCTTTATTCATACGGTTCTCAGAGGGGAGTTCTGCCACATTCTTCTGCTTGAAACTCAGCCTTAATGCATCATCTCCTTATGAAGATGTCTCTAATCTCTCCAGTCATATTTACCCTCTTTTTCCAGAACAATTGCTGCTATCCTATTATTAAATTGCTTATTAAGTTCTTCTTTTTGTTAAAGTTAAATACCCATGTATCAGCCCATGAAATTTCAAAAGAAAAACTAAAGAAAAATTAAAGACCTAAGAACATTGTGGTACCTGCCCCAGATTTTTAAACCAGCCTTCAAAGCTTGCATCAGATTCAAACACATGCTAAAACTGCCTTCCTCCCTGCTCTCAAGAATGTATTATCTCTTCAGACTTTACCTCTCCACAGTAAGAGAACGTATAAATCTCATTCTGTGAGAAATGGACTCAAAATTCCACCACTGTATAGTATAATTTCACTAAACAAATTTTTTTTTTTAAAAAAGAGAATTGATTGTTTTGTGTGAGTTATGGTGGGACTTTATAGCTTCTTGCCTGAGTCCTTTTATTCTTCATCTGTGACAATTATCTTATCTCAAATTCTCAATAACATGCTCTCAATACATTCTAGGTTTTATTCCCTTCATCTCACCTCTCTTGGAGAAAGACTCTTTGCAATATGCATATACCATTTTGTTTTAGTATCAGAATCATGCATCTAAATTGCACATAAATTTCCTTCTTCAGATTAAAGCCAGTTAACATTTTGTAAATCAGCATTAACCTGCAGTAAAACCCCAGTTTCTCTGGCAGCCTTAAGGCAACTGAAGAGATCAGCTATAGATAATCCTAAATTATCGGCCACAGCTCTGCATTATTCAGTTTTAACCTTTAACACTGGAGAACACTGTGAATCCAAGTGTTGTTTGAGCTTGTGCTTATATTTACATAATCCTGAGTGCTCTTCTTCTTTTGTATCAGAAAAGTTTTTGTCAAATAATGAGCGGATATGCTTGAGATGTAGTCTGGAACATGAAGTGGAAAAATGCGAGGTGAGTCAGTCATGGCCCTGCCTCCAGGAGTGTAGAATCCAAGAGGAGCATGTATTTATATTGAGACCAGCCAGTAAGGTTAAAGACTGTAGACTCCAATAGCCAAAGCAGTGCACCGAATAGTGAGACTGGAAGAGAAAAATGTGGAGTGAACGAATATATTCTTAAAGTATGGATGGGCTGGGATTGGTGAAAAGAAGAAAAGCAAAGAGCAAAGAGAACAATCTTGGGACTTTTGCAACACAGTGAAGAAACTGCCCCAAACTGAGAATTCCTTTTGAATCAAGGCATAGGTGAGGCCTGACCATGAGAACGAAGGTGGTTTGTAGTTGATCTCGATCCCCCACGTAAGAAGCTTGAACTATATTCTGGATAAAATGGATGCTTTAGAAATACTATTTTTAAAGTCTCCAAAGTTTTTGAGACAGAGCAACTAGAGTCTAAGAGATTAGCCCAGAGACTAATAAGCCAAGAATGAGATCAAAGTCTTTAGAGCATTACGTAGCAGTAGTCTTCAAGTTATGAATTATAGACACTGCCCCCCTCAGAGAGACCTACAGGTATAAGACAGAACTCAATACAGGTCATATGTTTTCTGAGGTATCTGTAAGGACTGGGCATTGCACCATCCATTTCTCTCCCTGAGCTGTGGAGAATTTATTAGTAGGAACTCCCTTAATAATCTTGTGTTACTATTTTAACTTTTTAGCTTTACATTTGGCATTTGCTGTCTACCTACCCATGTAACCGTATCTGAATAATATGGTTAATAATATGGTTATTACTAATAATCTCATTAATATTAATTATTAATCTGTTAATAATAATATGGTTAATAATAATCTGTATCTGAATAATAACTCTTTTGTAATTATAATAAGTGGTTACACAGAGAAGTCTAGACTAATGCTTGTTTATCAGAACATTCATGAAATCTGTTTTAGACTTATTGAAATAATCTCTCCATGGTGTTCGCCTAATTTCATATTTCCTATTTGCCGTCAGCAACTTTAAGGAAAAAGGGATAATGTTATAAAGTTAAAATATTTTGCAGTCCCATTTAACCATTATATTAACTGTATTCTAATTATAAATTGTGGATTTAGGCTACTATGAATAATATATATGTACAGTAGACATCAACCTTAAAGTTCACAGTATTGATTGGAAATTATAGAAATCTATACATACACCTGGAATTCAAATGTATTTTACTTCAGGAAATAGTCAATGGGAATGTTGAGGCAACTTAGAGACTGATTTCTATTTTTCACACTTCATATATGTCAGACTTAAAGAGATGCATTATCTTTGACAAACAAGCGCATGTTTCCCAGATGTAGTTTATTATCCAAGTCATAGTTTGGGGAAAATTTGTCTTTCCAGAGTAACAGCTATTATGTCTTAATATCTTTGCTATACAATCACTGTATTCTAATTAAAGAAGCAATTTTCTAGAAACATTTCTGGCTTAAATAGTCTTATTTTACTAATGGGCAAAATAAAGACCTATTGATCTTATCTACTAGTGACAGGAGATTTTGGAGCCTTTTGGTTAGAGCGTGCTTGAGTTCCTCCAACAGGGACCCCTAAATTGACATTCTATTTTTAGTGCAGCCAATGGGCAAGCAGATCTACAGTCTTATAAGGGAAGACAATGCTTTCTCGATGGCAAAAAGCTTTTTGTAAATTTTATTTGTTTATTTATTT